CAACATGCTTATACGAAAGGTAGATCTACAGAAACGGCGCTACATGAAATAGTGTCGTATATAGAGAGATCACTAGACATCAAAGAATATACGCTAGCAGCCTTCCTGGATATAGAGGGCGCCTTTAACAACATCATGCCGGGCGCGATAACGGCAGCACTGGCGGGCCTGGGCATCGACTCGCGCTTAGTTGCGCTCGTAAACCAAATGCTGAGATGCAGGGTGGTCCGGGCGGAGCTGGCGGGGGTATCGTTGACCAGGTTCGTAGAGAGGGGCACCCCGCAAGGGGGAGTCCTATCCCCTCTATTATGGGTCGCAGCGGTAAACTCACTGCTGTGTGGCATGGAGGGGGTGGCTGTAAGGTTATTGCGTATGCGGATGATCTTGCACTAACAGTAAGTGGAAAATTTCCACAGACTCTATGTGACATTATGCAGGTAAAACTGAAGGAAGTCGAGAGTTGGACAAAAAATAACGGGCTAGGGGTAAACCCAAGCAAGACAGAACTTGTACTGTTCACAAGAAGGTACAAAATCCCCCCATTGATAACACCAAGGCTGGCACAGACCACACTAAAATTAAGCGAGTCCGCTAAATACCTGGGGATAGTCCTAGATAGAAAATTAAGCTGGATTCAAAACACCGAAGAGCGGGTGCGGAAGGCCACGGTTGCCCTATACAGCTGCAGGAGAGCAATCGGCCAAAAATGGGGTTTAACCCCGAAGCTAGTGCACTGGATATACACCGTCGTGGTGAGGCCCATACTTCTGTACGGGGTAGTGGTATGGTGGCCAGTGCTGGAGAAGAAAGTAAACATTATTAAATTACAAAAAGTGGAGAGAACGGCCCTGATCTGCATTAGTGGTGCTCTCCGCACAACACCTACTATGGCAATGAACACGATCCTCAACATCATACCCATAGATATTATGGGACGACAATACGCTGCGTTTGCAGCCCTAAGACTACAGGGGCTTAAAAGCTGGAAAGTGGCTCGCTGTGGTCACACTACAATTCTGAGAAACCGACAACTACCGAGTACAAAGGACTACTGTGTACCAAGGCTCACTTTCACTAAAGGTTATAGCGTAACGCTAACTAGCAGGGAATCATGGCTCGAAGGAGCTCCGGGGTCTAGAGATGCCATAAGATTCTACACGGACGGCTCCAAACTAGGAAATAGGGTAGGAGGAGGCGTCTACTCGGAGGAATTGGGAATAAAAAGATCATTCCGACTACCTGACCACTGTAGTGTCTTTCAAGCCGAATTGGCAGCCATACAAGAAGCCGTTGACAGCCTAAAACTAGCTGTTATCGCCACTACGGAAATATATATATACTCAGACAGTCAGGCGGCCCTTATGGCGCTTGACTCTGTCACTATAAATTCGGAAACAGTTGCCAACTGCCGCAAATCACTTAACGTGATGGCAGAGCAGTTCGCTTTGCACCTGGTATGGGTACCGGGGCACAGTGACATACCAGGAAATGAGAAGGCAGACGAGCTTGCAAGGGCGGGTACTTCCTCTCCACTTTCACCAGCCTGGAAGAGGGTGGGTATGCCACTCGCTTCCTGCAAGCTCTTACTAAGGGAGAACTTCCTTGAAGAAGCGGCCTCCAGATGGGAGCGCACTGAAAACTGTAATACAACGAAGCTTACATGGCCAAAATGGGATGTACGGAGATCGAGAGAAATTCTCACTCTCAACAAAGGCGATATGTCACTGGCCATTGGTCTGCTCACAGGACATATTTTGATAGGAAGGCACGCAGAACGCCTCGGGGTTAGTCACAACGACTACTGCAGGAGCTGCCACGACGAAGAAGAGCCTGAATCAATAAGGCACTTACTCTGCGATTGCCCAGCACTGGGCAGGAAAAGACAGAAATTCCTAGGTATAGGTCTTCTAGACGATCTAAGCGCGACTGCTAAGTTTGGAATACGGCAGTTGCTAAGGTTTGCAGACTCCACAAACTGGTTTAAGGAATAGGGGTTTTCTTTGGATCCATGTGGTATCACAATGGGCCCTGATCGGGCCTAAGTGTGCTGGCGCCCTCTGGGCCTAGCAGCCACTTCAACCTAACCTAACCTAACCTAGAATTCTAAAAGATATTAACATTTTTGAAAAATTCCAAAATTGTTCCACTTTTCTGAACTTTTCCGAAATTTTGTATTGATATAACAAAGTTTGAGAATTTTAAATAAATTTATTGTTAAATGCATAATGATAAATTGATTCACTATCACTGGCTAATTACACTACACTGAAGGAAAAAATATTAAAATCAAATAGAAACGTAATTGATCTCACTATAAACGTCAACGAAAGTACTGTATATTGGTAAATATTCAATTCAATTACGCGCATATTAAAATGACCGCGTTCGTTCTGAAAAAGCATCCATGAAGTGAATAATCAAGACAAAAACTAAAAAAAAAAAACATTTAACTTGCATGTCGCCTGCAGTGGAATTCGAACCCTGCCATCTCTGGATATCTACAATTTGTGGCATGCATCTTTGCGCGCTCAGCTACACCCAGGCATATAAATTTGCTTTCAAATGTTGAATATCCCTCAACACCACAGCACGCGATTTGTACGGATAAACATGTACTATGTATGAATGCGTGTGTTGCCACCGCTCTCAGAGCGGCGCTCTGCTTGCTTGGGGTGCGTATGTACACTCATATACAAGAATGATAAAATACAAGATTGCGCCAATGGGAGAGAATTTTTGAGCGTAATTTTTGCGTGACGTCATCTTGGTGCAATTGCGCGAGAGAAATGCCAAAATGCATATACAAATATGTAAACAATGCAGAAATATGTGTTAATTTTAATATTACATGGCCCAATTTTGCAGGAATCAATAAATATACAAAGATTGAATAATTAAGAACACGTACACTAAGGGAAAAACTGAAATGTTAAAATAACTCCGATCACCGTCATTTTTACAATTGTGCAAAGTTCAAGAAAACCCATTTGATTAAACATTTAAAAAAGACGACAAAACAATTTTAAGGTTGATTTAACAATTCAATAGTCGATCTAACCAGAAATAATTTCAAATCAACATTGTTTCAGTTTTCTGCAAAATAACTAAAAGTCATTTTTACTTCCACACTGTTATTGTAAATTTGAAATTGCATCATTGTTGAATCAAAGTTTTTTTGCGGTAGATCTTACTCTCTTGAATTGTATCTAGCAACAAAACGTACATATGAATAACGGTTCCTGGCTTACTGATCTACATTACTGCATGACAAGAAGCTTCATTTGCGAAAAATTTTTGACGCGTGAAGTTCGGTTGTGAAAGCAACAATTTAAAAAGGTGATAATCAAAAGATTTTTATAGAAATGGAAAGTGAGGAAGTTTTTAAAAATATATTCTACGCAATAGGTGGCGAAGTGATTAATATAACTACAGCTTCTGGCANTTCTACGCAATAGGTGGCGAAGTGATTAATATAACTCCAGCTTCTGGCGAAGTGATTAATCTAACTTCAGGCTCTGGCGAAGTTATTAATACTATAACTCCAAATTCATTTCTGAGCGAGGAAGAAAACGACGACCACAAATTAAAGGCGCTTTTAAAAGGTTTTGGTATGGAAAATGTGTTTGAATATTTAAAATGTGAGTATTAAAGAATAAATAAAAGAGCAGTGTAAACTTTTTGTATGCTTAAAACATTGAATCCAAAAAAAGATAGTTTCCCGGAGTGGCTTCATGAAAAATATATTTGCGATAAATCATCTAAGTCGAAATATACAGTGGCGAACATAATTGAGTGTATGGTGATTTTTTTAGTGTTCGCCCAGCGGTTGAAATTCAACCGCTAAAATTAAGGATAGTTTATGTGAGTTGAGTTGAGCTGAAATAAAATTTGTTGGAATGGGTTAAGTGGAGGGGAGTTTAGCTTAGTACTTAGCATAACATAACATAGAATAGCATTAGATTCAATAACATAACATATGTAGCATAACACATCACAATATAACATCGCACATTCTTCAGTTGTATTTCCTTTTTATCCCTATCACTTTCTTCCTCTCTATCTTTGTCTCTATCGCTTTTAATGTTTATGTTTATGTTTATCTACACCTTCATATTCATGTTCATGTTCATGTTCATGTTCATGTTCAAGTTCATG